TTCGTTGTCCGGTTCCTCCGCAGTCCTGTGCCCATGTTTCAGCGGTGGTGCTCCCACAACAGTCTGCTCTTCCTCCAGCTCCCCTGTGGCAACCAGTCTCTGCCTGGTGCGGCCTTTTGTTAGCAGGGATTCTTGGATGTGAGCAAATTTCCAGTCCCCCTCCACTGGCCGCGACATGTTGCCTGGGACTAGGGGGTGGGACAGTTTCTAGTCCATCTCCAGTGGCAGATGCTTTGCTTTGTATAAGTGAAGGATCTGGAAAGCAAGGGGCTGTGTTGGCCGGTGGCAGCAGATCACCNAAAAAATTTTATTTATTTATTTTAATTGGAGGCTAATTACTTTACAGTATTGTAGTGGTTTTTGCCATACATTGACATGAATTGTATTAGTTTTTTGCTTTAAATATGTTGACTCTCTGTTGTTATGCACATACACATTTAGGATTGTTATGTTGTGATGAATTGACCTTTTACTGTTTACATTATGCTTCTTTATCCCTGGGATAATATTCCCTGTGGCAAAATCTGATTTTTCTCCTATTAATATAATCATTCCAGCTTTATTGTTGACATGATATATTTTGTTTCCATCCTTTTTACTTTTATGTCCAAAGTGGGCTTTTTGTACACATAATAAGTTGAATTTTTTTTCCCCAACCAATCTAACAATCTCTGCCTTTTACTTCAAGTGTTTCGACCACTTGCCTTTAATATAATTGTTAATAATATAATTAACCGTTTAAATCCATCATTTTAATGTGAGTTTTCCATTTGTCCCATTGTTCTTTTCTTTTTTTTAATAATTTTTTTATGACTCCCATTTTATCTCTACTAGTGGCTTACTAATTAAACTTTTGTTTAGTGGTTTACAGTGTATATCTTTAATGTAGCACAGTTTACCTTCAGATAAGTCCTACCTAGATTACGTCGATGGTAAGAGCGGAGAGACAGTGCCCTCCCAGTCCCTCTTCCCATTCTTGTGCTTTGGTTGTCATACATTTTATTCCATGTTCTAAGTTCCACGGTGAGTTATTACTGTTTCTTGCTCTAGGCAGTTGGTGATTTTTTTTTTCAGTCGGTGATTTTTTAAAAGAGATTAATCTCCCCAATATTTACTTACTTATTGTTACTTATTTTTTAAAAATTCACCATTTCTGCCCCTCCTCGTTTCTTTGTGTGATTCAAATTTCCACCACCACCAAGGGGGGGGTCTCTCGGGTTTCCTGCTCTGGCTCAGTTCTTTCTCAGGAACACCTTATGGAGATCTGTGCCAAGTGTGTTTGAATTCCCCTTCCATAGATGCTAAATGATTGTTCTAGCCCTCTGTTGACCTTTAATAATTCGGTAAGTTTTCTGTTGTTCTTACCTTTATTTTTGTTCATCACTTGTTTCTATGCTGTGCCAAAGTAAAAATATTTAATGAGTCCTATCTCTCTTCACAGTGGCTTGGAAATTTAACTTAGTTCAGTTGATTGTCTTGTAATCTTAGTGCTCTCATGGACTAAAGAGTTGGTATGGTTTTGAAAAAAAAATTTTGTTTTTCCCCTCATCTTTAGAGTGGGGAAGATACTCTCTTGTGGATTTCTACATCCTAAACAGGACCTGAAATATGCAGAGGAACCTGAAAAATCTAAAGTGCAAGATAGCAAAGTCCATCCCCCCTCATACAGTGGAGTCCTTTGCCATAGGAACTCTTTTCACTGAAGGGTATTTCCTGGCTGTTGTATCATTTAAACTTCAGTTGCAGATAACAAACTTATAAGAGCTGTTTTAAACTGAATGGGGTTTAATTTTAGAAATTAGATACTTAAAATCATTGATAGGGTTGGAGAAGTAGGCTCAAGCTGGATCTCAGAATAATCCCACAGAAATGATCCCAAGTGAGCTCTTACCTCTGCCCACTATGGGGATTGAGAAGCTGCTGGGTTAACACCTGAGCCAGGGTCACACTGCTGTAGCCACGATCTTGAGATCAGGAAACCTCTGGCAGACTCATGGGATCTAGAACAATTCTGTGCCTCCTACTTTTACTGCTGCTAGATGGATCCCTCTTGATATGCACCATCCATACTGTGCCTGCTTAATTTACTTCTGAACTTGTCTTACACATATACATCTGACTGGCAGAAATGAATCACAGGGGAGTCTTAGAAATACCATGTTTGGATTTCTAGCCTTGGTAGCATAAGAAAGTGAACTAGCAGGAAGTTGGAAAGGATACCGAGCAAGTCATAGTTAGAGACAATAGAATCCATTTGAGTGAGCCAGTTTGAGGAGGAAGGAATTTATTAAAGAGTGTCCGAAAGCTAACAGACCTCCAGAAGGGCCAGGGATCTGTGTTCCAATGCTTCACAGCCAGGACTTCTGAAGCCAACAGCACTGCCTGACCCCACAGTGGCGACCCTCCAGCAGGAATCCCCCCAGTCCCCCATCATGTTTGCTGCCTCTGCCCACCACTCTTCTACCCCGACTCTGTCAGTAAGTGCCATGTATCTCGGCTCTGTTCTTAGAACACACTACTTTTTACCAAGTTTTGTATTAGAGTACTTTTGATTATAAGTGAGGGAAACTCAACCTCACCTAGTTTAGTATAAAAGATAGTATTTTGGTTATATTAGGATTCTTAGTTGCTAAGTACACACTTCACTACATCTAATTTAAGCCGAAAGGCATATAGAATATTAAGTTCTCAATAAAGTCTCTGGGAAGACTAGGGCCCTAGGTTTGGATGCTGCCCATGCCCTCTGCTATTTGAAAGAAAGGTCAACACAATATCTTAGATGATCAGAGTTCATCTCGTCTGGTGGGGTGACCCAAACCTTCGCTCCTGCAGGTTCTGGGTCCTGGGTCAAAGGCAGTGTTCTGTGGAAATAAGTCATTCTTAAGTCTGTGTATGGTATTGCTAGCCAATGCATTTCCGGCAAAAAGGGAAATCGTAATCTAGAATAATTGTCCATTCAGTAAGAAGAGATAACTGCTTTCTAGGATGCTGAGAGGCTAGTCTAGCTGACACATTCCCAGGAATGGCGCCGTGCTGGAGGCCTGTGTACCTTGTCCCTTGCAGGTTAGACACTTGGAGGAGTCAGATCAGAGTCGGTGAGAGACCCCTCTGGTGGCCCCCACGTGTGTGTCTATTTTGTTTGTGTCCTTTGAGCAGGCATCGGGGGTCTAGGGAAAGAGGCCGGCTGGCGGCCATAGAGGGGATCATCTTGGCCAGCAGATGAATGAGAGTCCTCCTGTGCAGAGGACCTTTGTGAGCACAGGGGCTCAAATATCCTCACAGCCAGACCCCCTCCAGGTGTCTGTCCCACAGATCTCTCTTCTAAGCCTCATCGCAGCCAGTCCTCTCATCTGTTCCTTTCAAGTCCCTGATCATGTGTCAAAGAAATGACCATTGTCCACAGGTGGGTGTAGATTAGTACCTCTGGCCATCTCTCTTGCAATTCAAGGTACAACATCAGATGTCCACTCTAATGGTCTGCCCTCCACAAGGGTCTCCCCTCTTCACTGTGCTTCAGTCACTCCTGCTTGGGGATGAAATGCTACAGAATCTAATTCCAGTTGGGGCCAGCATCATGCAGAGCCATCTGTTGCATTTGGATTTTTTTCCTCTTCAGTTGCCATATCGTAGGGAACTCCTATGAGACCAGAGTGAGGATTGAGGGAGAGATGATACTTCATCAGGAGTAGACACAGACGTGACCTACACTTCTTGATGAGAGTGTGGTGGTGCTGAGCACAGCTGATTAGGACTTTATGACTTAGATAAAATCTGGCTCATGAGGAAGCTTGGGTTGCATGGTCACTTGGTTTTCTTTTTTCAGACTACCAGGTAAACTGCATGCCAGGGGCTGTTTCCCAAAAGAATAATTAGGAGATAAGAAGTCTTGCTTTGCTTAAAATCCTATGCCTAGGATTTTGCTGTAGTCAGCTCCTTAACACTGCCCCTCAGACCCTTTCAGCTCCATTAGACTGCTTTATGTTAAATTGGAGAAAATTATATTTGCTTTAACTGCAATTGAAATGCCAGCTATGCTGATCTGTTCCTGTAAGGAGACCACATTTCTTGAAGGTGCCACCCAATTAAACTTAAAGATAATTTCGTTTTTCTAAACTCCATTTATTTTTCACTTCAGGCCAAACAGGTGAGTTAAATATGGAGGTGATAGGAATGTCATGAATGAATGTAGGTCACAAACAGACCCCTAGCTGCACTGGGGTCTGGGAAGAACTAGTTAAAGCCAGTGGTACATTAGGGCAAGCTCAATGAGGGTCAGAGGGTGCTGACTCACCCATCAGTAAATCTGCCTCAACAGCTAACAATTGAATGTTTTCATTCTGTTTGAAGTGCCCTGATTGGCTTCTTGAATGAATAACAGATCTCTCTTTACTGAGGGACATACTAAATAATTTTCTTCCATCTTGGGTCTCATAAGTAGACACTCATTTGGCAATTTTTGAATAATCATGGAAAATAGCAGACAGGCTTCCTACTTTTCTGATCTGTACCACACTTGGGGCTGTGCTCTTTTTCGGAGACTTAGGTTTTCATTTTATTTACAACAAAATAGATTAAAGTAGAGCAGTTTTTGAAAAGATGAGAAGTACTACGGAAGCTACAGACCAATGACCCCTAGCTGTGGATGTCATCTTTGGAAGTTAAAGAACTCAGGCCAGACTCCAAAATACTATTTCTAAAAATTATACTTCAACCCCACCCATAGCCCGAGAAGAACTGATTAAGTCATGAAATGTTATCATTCATAAGGTTTATAATTTTAAACAAAATGGGGGCTGAGAAATGTGTTGTATCATCATCTTTAGCTGAATAGAACTTGTTTGGGGACCCTTTGCTCAGAATTAATTTCAGTTTTCTTAAACATTTCTACTAGAAAGTGTCTCCCATGTAGGTTATTGCCTCATTATTTTTAAGAAGTGGTTTTAAAGGAAAATAGTTCCTACAGTAGCTTATTTTCATTATCATGTTACATATTTTTTCAGCTCCCTTGGAAATCATTGACTAGCATCATTGAATATTATTACATGTGGAAAACTACTGACAGATATGTGCAGCAGGTAATTTTTCGTGTTGCTACCAATATCGTTGCATTAAAATGAGCTATTTACACATTAATATTTCTTAGCAGTATACTTAGTTTTAAATTTTAGTTTTAAAACAAGTTTGCTTTATCTTTTCTCGACCACTATAAACTATGTAATTTCATATCTTTAGCATGTCATTTTAAGATTTTAGTCTCAATATTTTCTTTACTTCAGATTCCATTATGATAAATATTTTGAAAAGATAGCAGGAAAGATCCACCAGAAAGGTATTATTTTCCTTGCATGTTCCTGGTGCTTCATCTCCTTGTTGGTATAGTTGACAGAAATCACTTCAGATGTGTAAAAGTTCTGAAACCTCCTGGACATTTGTGTGATTATACCCCCAGGTGACCTTAAGTGTAGTAGTTAGTCTTTACTAGTTTAATGTCTTTACTATTTAAAGTTTACTGTACATAAATATAGAACTTTTCCCCAAAAATTATCTCTAAAAGAAAAGATTAACTTATTTTTTAAATCTTCCCCAAGGGGTAATTCTCTCAATTACTACTTTTGGAGGAAAGGTGTGTTTTCCTCAGGTGACCTAGTATATTATATTCTTCTAGATATGTGTCAGAACTGGTAAGACAAAGGGGCAAATAGATTTAACAGGCGTTTTTCCCCCCAAGTATATGCTCACCCAGTGGCAACTGTTAGATGCTGTAAAAATACAATTTAAAGGATCACTAAAAAAATTACCCTAGTGAGTTGTTGAGGCTGTGAATAGTGAATAGATACCCATGGCTTGTTGAAAAATGTCCAGTGTCATCATCATATATAATTCAGAAAGTGCTTCTTTCAAACTAGCATCCAAAACCAAGCAAGATGGTTCTTTAGCACATTTGTCTGCCATCTTCTCATCTGTTCTTGACTTTACAAATAAAGTTTGCTTGCCCCCACCCCACCCCCAGGATCTACTTAGGTAGATGGAAAGACCATGTGCTCTGGAAATCTTTGTTATTCAAAGCGAAGAGTTTCTAGAGATGGTGGCAATGATGGCATCAAGGATGGTTGAAAAAGTTTTAAGTTGTCTCCTTAAATTTTTTATTTCCTTCTCATTGAGAAAATGAAGGCTTCCCTTGTATTCTGATTTGTCATAATTTTGAATATCCACTATACATTATTTTTTTTCTTTCTCTATTTGCATTTACTGTTGTGTTGATCAGTCTCTGGCTTTGATTATATAATCTTTTCACCATGCCTTTCCCTGCATTTGGCTCCTAATTGGTTCCTAAAAATCTAACATGAATTCAATCAAGCTTTAAAGTTGACTGCATATCACCCAAGATTTAAGGGTAAATGCTTATTTAATTGGACTTAATTACTGTCTCTTTCTTTTGCATAGACTTTGGAAACTAATCATCTCTGAGTAATTTTCTAAAAGCAAAGATGATTGTTTATTTTTTATCCCTCCCAGAAAGGCAAAAAAGAAATAAAATAGAAACTAAATGTGAAAAGTATAAATGATTACTTATAAGTTTGATTTGTCTGCTCCTGGAGGGATGGGAAATGGAGTTGCTCATTGCTTTATTTTTAAAATTTATGTCTAAAATGTTTTTAATACTTGTTCTGTACCTCAGAATCTAGTGGTTTTTCTTATAAATTTCTGCAGTTTAAGAACATGTGCGTGAAAAAAACCCTCATCTTAAAAAGGAAGTTTTTGAAATATGTTTTAATGTTTTATTTTCTTGTGAATTTTTTAAGACAGATGAAGTGGTAATAATTATTTTGACATTGTGTATAAAATATTTCATCTATCTTTTCAACTAGAAACGTCTAAAGGCAGCAGAAGCTGAGAGTAAACTGAAACAAGTGTATATCCCAACTTAGTAAGTAATGGAAATCTTATAAAATATTTGCCATGGTATTAATTCTATCCAAAACAAAATATTTACATTTTTGTCATTTTCAGCCAGATTTGAATTTCTTTGTGTATCTTATTTTCTTCCACTACAAAGCACAATTTGCTTTCCATTATAATGCCACTGCAGTGATTTTATTTTAGAAAGAAAAATGGCTAGTGGGGGAAACCCCAGGTTGACTAACAAAAGGACCAGAGCAAAAATGCCATCAAAGCTTCAGAGAAAGTATTAGAAAACTAACCTATGAAAATATTATTTGAAGCAAATGTGTTTCAGAAAGCTAGCAACTTTTGAGACTTCTGTATTGTATAATGTATTTTATTTGGGTAATGTGCATTACCCTTTTGAGGTATGTTTTTATTTAATGGAGGATTTTACTTTGTTTGTTTGGGGAAAGTGTTAGGGAACATAATTAGAACCAAACTTTGTAAATATTGGATAAATAATGATAGCTCTTGATTGTTTCGGATGCCTAGCATTCTATCATTATCCTCTGGGTTTAGGAATTATTGTATATTAAAGTGAATGCCAGTTTTCATTTGCTACATTTTAAATGAATTTTCTTTTTTTTGAGGTCATAAGTTTGACAGTTTATCTGTTCAAGCAGACTTAGTTTATTGAGCACCATGTATATACTGCTATCGTAGGTTCTTTGGGGATTAAGATGAAATTCACTACAAAATTCTGTGTACTGATTCAAACTTTTTCAGTATAGTTATCGTATACCTAGCCTTTTCTTTACTGAATTTCAATACATCAATACATATTTTTAATACATAAGAGGCCTCATAGATGATGAATTGTTATATTTCTTATTAGTCTTTTTTCTCAAGGTAGATAACATGTAATTTATAAGGTCAGTAATTTTTATTCAGAGCTATAATGTCCTTTGTAAAATATTAAATGTCTTATTTGACTAATCTATAAAAGAACAACTCCCCAAAGAAAACAGTGTTATGATTCATGTGTCTTAGATTTTCAAAAGCAAGCATACCAGCATTCCTACACTTTGCAGTGCTGTCACATTAAAGGAAAAGTAACTAGTATTCACCAAATACCACAAATAATTGTTTCTCTTCAGTTTTGCATTGACTTTGGAGTCTTGATCTAAGTCGAAGACTAGTCTGTGGGTCAAATCTCACCTGCCACCAGTTTTTGTAAATAAAGTGTTTACAGAACAGCCATATATTTATATACTATAAATCATATATGTAAATAGAAGTTATGAATCTGTTTTGTTGAGTTGGATAAGAATCTAGTTCTTTGAACAATTTCCCAGTTAACTCTGAAATATTATTTTAAAACAGATTGTAGATTATGTTGGTTTTTTGACCATACCACATGGCTTGTCACATGCCAGGGATCGAACATGAGTCCACACCCACAGTAGTAAAAGCACTGAGTCTTAACCACAGGACCGAGAATTATTTTTCACTCTTACTTGTTTGAACCTGAGAGTCTCCCATATGCGAAGCACTCTGTTAGGTACTAGAGGTGGATCAGGTAAGAAGACAGGTGGTCTTCTGGAGCCTGCATTCTAGTGTGGGGGAGACAGAGGCCAAACAGTTAGTCACCCAGTGTGACAAGTACTGTGATGGAGAAGAAGAGCTTGTGTGAGAGTTTATCCTGGGGACCACACTCAGGTGATGCTGTCAGGGAAGATTCCTTGTGGAGGTGAGTTTGAGTGAACTTGAGGCAGGGGATTAACTAACTGGGTGATAGGAGCTTTCCAGGCTGATGGAATCATGAGATGGGAAGGGGCAGAACATAGTTAAGGAGCAGAGAGAAAGACAGTGTGGCTGATATGAAGAGAGTGGTGAACCATGAGAGGACAGTATGGTGGGCAGGGGCCAGGGGTTAGCCCTCTGATGAATGTTGGAATTGGATTTGAAACAGGCAAGTGTCATGATCAGATTTGTATGCACTTTAAGATGACTGGCTATATTTTGGAAAATGGTTTGGGGAGTCAGGGGAGTGGCTGTAAGGACACCAATTATGAAGTTCTTGGAGAAGAAAGATGATAACAACTTGACCTAGACCTGTGGCCTGGACAGTGCATGCCACTTGGAGATGATTGACTTGTATGGAGGGGTAGAGGGGAGATGTTGAATCCCAGGTTTCTGGCTAGCTTTAATTAGGTGGATTGCTGTGCTGTTCACCATGATGAGAAGCTGGGGCAGAGAACCAGGTTGGGTCATTTTGAGTTTGCGTTCTTCAAAAAGAGGTGTTGAGTATGTTGTCAGATATGTTGTTCTTAAACTTAGAAGAAAGTTCTGGGCTAGAGGTCCAAATTTGAGCTTCATCTGCATATAATATTGTTCTTGAAACTACAGTTTTCTTAGAGTAATAAGAAATCAGAGCCTTGGACCAAACTTGAGGAAATCTAGTATTTCTGTATCAGATAGAGTATGATAGCTAAAAAAAGAATAGCCAAGTGAGTACATTATCACACAGCCAGCCTGAGAGAGGAGTGTCTTTCAAGGAGGGAAAGAGGTTAACAGTGTCAAATGCTAATGAAAAATAGCAAGGGAGTGTAGCAACATGGAGGTGGTTGGTGACAGTGAAGATTGGCAGCTCTCAAGAAAATTGGCTGAAAAGGCAAATTCCTGGTGTTGAGGGTTGACTCTGGATAGAGTAATGGAGATTTTTTTTTTTAATAGGAGAGATATGTTTCCATGGTAAATTTAGGTCCAGGAAAGAGAATCAAGTGCACAAAGTTCTCAAGAGGGCAGGAGAGCTGGAGTCTGGAGAATAGAGGAGGGGAGGAAGGATTTGGGCATTAGCTAAAGGAAGGGAAGCTTCATGTAACGCAGCTTTTAAAACTTTTATTAAAATCTTCACATTAGCATCAACCATTTGTCCCCTGAGAATTAATCTATAGGTTCTTGGTTTTTTTTTTTTTTTTTCTGTTAAACAATGATTTTATTGCTTTAGTACAATAGACAAATTTATGCAACCAGGGCAGAAGCTGTGGATGACTCG